GTGGTTGTCTGTACTATTCATAAAAATTATTGTATTATTTAAATTGTTTTAGCCGTTTTTGAATGAATTAATATGACCTAAAAGTATTTGATACATCAGTTTTTTTGACTTATTGAAAAAATTTCATATTTTTAGTTGATCTCAAACATTACAAGTACATATGTCGGTCAATTGCATTGATTTTTCATGTTTTTTTTCGACGATTTTCACTCTCTACTTCATTTAATCATTATTTAGACAAAAACTAATCGAACCATTCGATTCAGCAAGTCAAAATACATTAAAATACCCTCCTGTGAAAACGAAATCGATTGGTGACGAAGTTTAGTAGTCAGTTCATCGCCGATTTTTGCTTATTTTTCGATTTTTTCGACGTTTTTGGCTTTTAATTTTTTTTTGACGCAATTTAGGCAAAAACTAATTGCACTATTCGATTCAGCGTCTCAAAATACATGAGAAAATATGTATTTTTAAAAACGAAATTGATCGGTAATGACGTTTACAAGCCAGTCGATTGCCGTTTTTAGCTTATTTTTCGATTTTTTCGAAGTTTTTGGCTTATAATTTTTTTTTGACGCAATTTAGGCAAAAACTAACTGCACCATTCGATTCAGCGTCTCAAAATACACAAGAAAATATGTTTTTTAAATTGAATTTTCGAGATTTTGATTGGGTTTTAGAGGGAAAACCGTTTTTACATGTTTTTCCCATTTAAAATACATGGGAAACTTGAGGTGCTTTGAGGCACGTGTTAAATCAATTTTAAAAAATTAAAACCTATTTGCGCACGAGTTTTGAGGGGTATAGAGTACAAATTCACCCGGCCCGAAAGTGGATTCGAAAAAAAAAAAAATTAACGACCACCCTACTGTACATGATATTGATTTGAAAAGATGGGCTTTAAAAAAAAAGCTGAAATAGCTATGCCTTTATTCAAAGCATCGAATTGGTGGATCTGGCAATTTAAAAAGAAACATAATATAGTATCTCGAAAAATCACTAAATTTGTTACAACAGATTCATTGAAAAATATTGATGAAATTAAAAATCAATGTGAAACTTTTAGAGTTGAAATTAAACAATTGCTTACAAGATACGGTGCAAGCAATGTATATAATTCTGATCAGAGCGGATTTAATTTGGAGATTCACAGTGGTAGAACATTAAATTATAGAGGACTGAAAGAAATTCAAAGCATAGCACAATCACTGTCTTCCTTAACACACAGCTACACTATTTAACCTGTTATATCAGCAGAGGGTAATTTGCTTTCACCTTTATTTTTAGTATTGAAAGAAGCAAGTGGAGACTTTGGGCCTCGAGTTAGACAGACATTATTTACACCAGAAAATGTATTAATACGAGCTTCTACATCTGGAAAGCTTTCTAAGCAACTGCTTCAGACGTGGATGCAAGAAGTATTTTTAAAAAATACTGGGAATTCATCGGTCTTACTCTTAGACTCTTGGAGTGAGCAATGTAATAATACCGTACAAGAAGTTGTACCGGAACAAGTAATTTTAATGATAGTAATTTCAATACAATATCAATTTACAGGAAAGAAATTTTATCATAAAAATGCAATCCCTCGTACATAATCAGTTATCTTCTCCGAGGTATTATAATACTTTTAAGCATGCATGGTTCAAAAGTGGTTATATTGATAGACCTCCAAAATTTGATAATCCTGTTGAATTTTGCTTTGCCATAAAAGAAGAACCTGTATGTACCTACGAAGATAACATTGTAATTATAATTTGTAGTTGGTGTAAAAAAAAGTTATGCTTCAATCATTTTTTTACAGAGTATCATTATTGTAAGAATTATATACTATAATTATATAAAATAATTCTCAAAAATATCAAACATATGTACGGGATAAAAAGAAAGTTGTATTTTATATATGTTAATATGTATATGAATGTAATTATTAAAAAAAATAAATAAATAATATTTATAATAAACAAAATATATAATAAAATGTTTTTATTGCCACTTTGGGACTCAAAATACAAATTTTTTCGGTAAAATTTGATATCACGTTTGAACGTGTAATTTCCCCCATAATTCGAATCTGCCATAAGCAACAGTAGTTTCCATTTGAAATATTCAAGTTGAGCCAGATTTGGGCCAATTTTTGGAATTGGACTCAAAAAACTTAGTTTCTCATTTGAAAGAACGAAAAACATTACAAAAGAAACACTATAAATCTTTTCAAGTCCAAAAAACACGACTTTTACACATATTTGAGGTTATGTAAGATCATAAGATAATTTTTTTCGGTCAAACTAATTAATATATCTTAAAGTATGAGTCTTTCCCTTCAAAATGAATTTTGAATCGTTCAGATATCTTTTTCTTTCACCGAGATATGATAATTTGAATTTAGCGTCTCGCCATCTTATGCACTTCAAGCGTATGTAGATAATTATAATTGGCAACCCTGTTTTTACCACCTAAATTACCGTATGGGCCGCTACAAAAAAATACGTGTCCAATATTTTTCGATACTCTAATCGTATGCAAAGTTTGAAGAAAATCGGTGACGGACGCCTCCCTGGCTTGTCAGAAGCAAAATGTACAGCGTTAGAATTCAGAATAAAAATCCAATAAAGAAGGTAAAAGGGATAAAGAAATTTGTATTCAATGCTACAATTATATTCGAGGACAAAGTCAAATGTCTCTGAGAAAATGTAACTCCAAGCCGACCGCAAAAGTCTATCAGATCACGTCATCATCAGTTATACGTACAGCGAGAGACAAACAAAGATCGCACTCAATGCGCATAACGATAAACGCTTCTTGCTACCTAGAACCACCAATACACTTCCTTGGGGTTATTACAGCATCCTATTGGTGGAACGGGAGGGGATAGAAGCGTTGGAAATGATCGCAGTCGAGTCGCCAACCGCCGTCGAGCCGCCAAAAAAGATTGAAGTGGGAAACGTGTTATATCAATTAGCACCCGAGGCTGCAGAGCTCATTCTCATCGAGAAAGAGTTTTCTGCAACAACAAGTAGTAAGCAGCAGGAGCATCTGTCTTCTAATTTTATTCTTCGTCGCTAGACTTGGCAGTGTCCTACTATCGACACTATCACCAGAATAATTGATTTCATATTTTGATTTTTTTTAGAAATTCCGCATTTTAACTGTAATAAAAGTTTCGGGAAGATTTTCCTTCTCACTTATGATACTTTTGATTGGATCTACTTTGCTTATTATGGCTTTAAGAGGATCGACTATTGGTTTGATTCAAGACTTTATCAGTATAATTTCGGGTATATAATTATTTACGGTATAAACTATGTTTCTGTCTTATTGCTTCTGCTTTTACGAGTTGAAAAAGCTCGTGTTTTCCCGTTGATATAATCAGCCATGAAAAAATATACAACCAATCAAACAATAAAACTTTTGCTATCCCGAATTTTTTTAACTAATTTACAATACTCTAATTCTAATTGATATTTCTTCAATTTGGGTAAAAACAGCGTATTTATTATTAAATAACAAATCATTTTACATTTCCTACATCCACAACATGAATGGAAAAAATGAATCGTAGTTTAAACAATAAATCTGTTAATATTTATGAAAACTGCCCCGTACGACTAAATATCTATCGGATTTTGATTCAGAAGGTTATAGAAAAACTTAGTATTTTACGGGATATTGATCGGTTTCGAAACCCCCTTGGCCCTTAAACTAATGCATAGTAAAACTGAATCAAGGTGTGTAGTTTCATACGTCAAGCGTTGCGAAAAGCTATACATATACTGTAGCTTTGTTAGGCAGTGACGGTGGTGCAGCAGTTGCCTAACAGAACTACGGACAATATTAGAGAGTCCATTGATTGAGCACTCATAAAACCTGTCCTTCTATAATTATCCATCTTCGTTGATATTATGTAGTATTTTCGATTGAAATCTTTCGAGGATTTTAATATTCGAATTGAGAGGAGCCCTTCAGTTGAGTGCCATAAATCCAAACTAGTTTGAGTACAACTTTGTAGAGTAGTAATTTGTTTTCAGTTGGCAGCTTCGATTACGATCTCCGACAAGCAAGAGCATTTTCCTTTATTTTAGTCCTAACTTTTTATAATTTGTGAATATATGTATCTCGATATGGTCTCACGATGCCGAATAATACGGATGGTTTTCATTTTGTGGTCGTATTTCTTTATGGCAGTCTTTATTTTATTTATTTATTTTTAGGCTAATTTTCATGCCATTTTGTACTTTTCACTATTGTTTCGTGGAGATGAAATGAACATATTGTTTTTTGACTAAGTGGCCGTTTTGACTGTCTCTTGGTTTTTATGATGATGTTGTGGAATAAAATACTAATGATTATAATGTGCATTCTATTATTTCAATTCTTAAAAACATGAATTATGTTACAATATAATCTTTAAATTTCTTGTATTTATATCTTTATTCAGACATTTTAATATAACAGTTCCACCCATCGTTTCTGTTACCTTCTTCATTAGAATAATTATATTTTCAAGTAATTCTTTTACCACAGTATTATGAGTTCAATTTTTAAATCTCTTTAATTTTGTTTTCATTACTAGAAATGGATTGTATTTCACTGTTATTAAACTTTGCTTAGCTATCTTGGCATAAGTAAGTGAGTAATTAGTATTGGGAATCACCTAAATCACTTAAATTTATTAATTTATTAAATATTTTTTCATATAAGCTATTTTTCTTTTGTAATTTAACATTTAACTAGGTAGGTAAATTTCTAACTTTAGTAGGTAAATTTCTGTTTTCATATTAATAAAGTTTATCACTTCGTCACCAGATATAGTTAAATTTGTCTTTTCTAAGTATAATAGAATTGATAATCACTTGCTATATTTTCTATATTATTTGCTATATTATAAAATATTTCTTGTTGTGCTTTCGTTATATCTTTATTTTTCTATCTAATTATTTAATACTCGTAAGCTGAAATTGTTAAACTGAATTTTATGCTTTAATTTTTGGATTACGTAGATTAGAGTATTCAAAGGAGCAGATGAAATAACTCAGCAGATAATAACAGAAATACCATGTTCAATCGTGGAATTCAACACAGAGAATGATGATAGAAAATCAGCAGCACTTGCTATAGGAGCTAGCTCAAGTGTATTCATTTTTAAAAACATGAGACCACATTTCAAGTTTTGTCTACCTCCATTGAACGCTGATATTCGCGAGCAAGATGTAAGTATAATACAGTATCATTACAGAACATATAAGTATTAATTCTAATTTAGAAATTTGTTATTTTTATTTAAATATTATTTAAAAAAATATTTAAAAAATTGAATGAAATATACATTAATATACTATAATAACCAGAATTCCTATTTGCGCTGACTACATAATACCTAAAAGTAATAATGAGTTATCCCCAATTGAAAATAAAGACGTGTTTTTATGACGTCTTTTCTTGACGTCTTTTTTTGACGTCTTTTTTAGATATGATTTCATGTATCAAAATGGAACGTTTTCAGGCGTCTATTTTCGTAAAAAAAGACGTCATTCTTTATAAAAAGACGTCATTTTCTCGAAAAGAATTTATCGCGCATTTATTAATGACGTAATTTTCAGGGAAAATACGTCATTTTTTCAGGATTATAAACTGTCCCGCTTTTTAAAGATGTCTTTCTCCGAGATAAAAGACGTCATTTTTGGTAGAAAAGACGTCCTTTCCTCCCGACGAATTTTCTCGGGCACTTAATAATGACGTAATTTTCGGAAAAAGACGTCATTTTTCCTGATTATAAGATGTCGCGTTTTTGAAATACATCTTTTTCCGAGATAAAAGACGTCATTTTTTTGGCGATTATAAGACGTCGCATTATTGAAAAACGTCTTTTATTCAGATAAAAGACGTCATTTTTTGTAGAAAAGACGTCATTTTACGAAGGAATAAGTTCATTTGTGATTTTTTTCAATTAAAAATAATCTTTATATATTAAAAAGTTGTAGTTTACAGACGTTATATTTATTTTGACAATAAATTACGTCGTATCACAATTCAATGCAATGCTCCAAACATTGAACACAAGCATAAAAATGATAGTTTTTAGTAAAATGATTATCATAAATCAGCCAAATTCATTCCAATATTTTGTAGCTATTAATCACAAACAAGTTTCATCTGCGCGCAAACTAACGCTAGAAATTCTTAATAAGAATATATATTTGGAATGGCACACAAGTACGATTCATTCTCACAAGTCAGGTAAACACAAATTCTATTAATAGAAACACTATCGATAGCTCTTAATTCTCCCTCAATAGATACTATTCTTTTAATTTGAAAATTGAGAACGTGTTCTTCAATATCGATAATATTCGCTACATTCACGGTCTTGCATAAGGTCTACTCTTGTTCATTTAATGTATCTACAATAAAGGAATCAATCTGTATATAATCGTTATCGATTGTTCTTGCAAAAGAATTATTCGATCGAAGTCTTGCTTTATTGCAAGATAAGTAGGTACAATCCATTTTGACTAATTTATGATAAACACAAGTATAATTGGACAAACGTAAAAGTTCTATCCATTGGTCTACTGGACGCAAATCTTTACCAAAATACTTGCCAATATCAGTGCTAAGCACATTTGCACACTCGTTTGTTTCTATGTATTGAATATAGGGTAACGCACGAGAATCCGGTTTGTTTGCCAATAAGAATTTTCGTAAAGCTAATTGGATCTTTCTCATTCCCATGACTCTGCAGAGTTGATATAATACACCTTTTGCAGCATGTATCTCTTTCACAATAATTCCATTTCCATTTTCAAATCCATAACTGGAATGGTGATACAAAGAACCCCAGTTAATAACACTTTGAACTACATGAAGCAACTGATGAATGTTATAAGTCATTGCACTTCTCGAATATAAGATTTCCGTCATTCCTACAAAAATCGTTAATAAACGGTGCGCTTCGCATAACTCAGCCCTCGTAATATTTTCTTGCATCAGTATGTAATAAGCTCGTACCAAGTGGGACCCATGTATGGCATAGCACTTCATTCGAGGAATCATCATCAGAGCTACTGTACTATAATATAGTATCTAGTTTTGGTATTCTTTAGTTTTCCAAAATTTTCAATCTCATATAGAACAAGAATTTCTCATGAGCTTATTCGGGACTTTCAAAGCTCTTAAAAAGTTGTCAATTGCATCCGATTCAGCATATTTATAATGTCTACCCAATATTTAATAAACTGTTTGCCTATTCCCAAGTCCATAAAATGCATTGGATCAGGAACAAAACCAAAAATAATATCGAACCCCCTTAAACCAGTTAAAACCGATGAATTTTTAACTCCGAAAATTGTTTCGCCAGACTCAACAGCCTGTCGCATCTGTTCCCGCGTATCCCGATCGTTTCTGTTGGCTATATCATCATCGATGACAATATATTTTACGCAACCCAACCCAACTCAATAACCCGGGTGTAGACACTAGCTACATCCATAGTAGCCATTAAATTGTGTCAGCCCTTGCATGGGTGGGTGTGCAATCGAATCAACGCACGAGCAAATTGCATGTAGATATATTGTAATGCGGTACATTACAAAGCCTTTCCTGAGCGCTGCATTATTTGCAACACCTCAGGAAAGCCATTCCCGTCCCTTGCCGTCCCGTAACCAGTTTTACAAAATAAAAACAAACGCGCCATATAAAAAAACAATTACCCTTTTCCACGCCCGAACAACCACACCGGAGATATTGGCAAAACAAACTCGACAAACGCGATCCGACGGACACTTAAAAGAAAAAAAAAAGGAGCGCACCACGAAATAAGAGAGCGCACGCACACACTCACTCCCGACCACGTGTTGCTGACCGGCGAAAGAAAAACGGGAAACTTTACTGGGAAATGCAACGGAAATGCAGATCCGTTACACTCACAGGCACCAACACCAACACTCACAAAGCACTGACACCCCTGGGGCGAGCAGAAAATCGCCGATGAAGTGGCAGCCGGCAATCAGCTGTGTCGGGCTGCCGAACACCATCGGCGACATCCTAAGCGCCACACACAATCACAACAGTGACCACACACAAACACCCGGGAAAACGTCACTTAACCGACACGGGAGCGCCCCAGGAGGCGCTCCAACAACCGATACGGGAACACGAGGCGTACATGCGAGAGACCGAGCGGCCATTTTGAAGCACCGAGATGAACTAAGCATGAGCGAGCGAGACAGACTGAGACAGAGCGAGCGAAACAGAGCGAGCGAAATAGACTAAACAAGAGCGAGCGAGACAGATTATATGAAATGATGAATAGAATTATATTTAAATGCGAAGATGGGGGCGCTACAATTGAAACGACGTATATTATATATGTATTCACAACGAATTAAAATTAAAATTATAATTAGAAAATGAACATGGAATAAATACCGAATTATAAAAAAAAAAAAATTTGCATGCGACCGACACACCCCCTATTATAATAGCGAGCGTGTTACGTGACACTTCATTCTGTTATAATTGTATTTTGTCGAATAATATTTCGGACCCGAGATTTCCGTTCGGACATAGTATAGCTAGCAGTATTCGTGTGCGCGACTCGGTAGGAATGTGCGGCAGAGGCTGATTCACGCTGCGGCAGCATGCTGCGACAGCATGCTTTGGTCAGCGTGCTTAGCTAGGTAAGACGAGCCGATACAAGAAGCGTAAATGTCTAAAGCGTATGTGCGAGAAAGAGACGGAATGCGAGGAGAAAAGATATATAATGAACCGGCGAAAACAACGACCCCAGATAGGGAGAATTAGTCAGTTAGGAGCGAGCGCTCAATTAAGAAGACTGCATTTTTCCTACTGAAGTTAAAACCATAATAAGAGTTTGAGAATATAATTGTTTGAGTTGCGATTAAGTATTAGAAGTGTCGAGTACAATTGTTTTAATAATTTTGTGTAAACGAAAATCATAGGAATTATCATTTTCTTGCGTGTTGCTACACTATTGGATAAAGAATATATTGGACAACGAAAATCATAGCAATTATCATTTTCTTGCGTGTTGCTAAAGTATTGTATAAAAAATATATTGGACCAGTTGATCTGATCAGATTCAAAGAAAAAGTGATTGGCCACATCACGAAGCGAATAATATTTTGGACCAATTTATATTTACAATATTAATACAAAGTGAGTAATACTTTTTATGTAACCAAAAAAATAATAGACATCGCGAGGCGAAAATTACGCGTCTGAGAATTTATATATATATATATCTCTCTATTCTGCTTAACTTATTTATGTTGTGAAAGAGACTAGAATAAATATTATAATTATAAACGCCTATAAGTGTATCCATATGCTTCCGTACTATATTAAAGAAAATCGCTATTACATTTTTCCTTTTAATAAACAAGCGAAAAACGTTATAAACGTTCAATTATTTATTTTACAAAAACGATATCGAGTGTCGAATTATAATTAACAGGGATTTCATTATTGACGCGCGAACGGGCCGGGGTGCCCGAAAGCCTGACTGCCGCCCGAGTCTAAGGCCGCTCGGCTGTTAAAAAGGCCTTCGTACGGGACAAACTCGCCTCGCGCGAGTTGTCACCTATCAGAGCGATAACTACCCATTAACTTTAATCAATAAATTAACCGACAGAATTCGAACCTCTGACGAAATTCGCTAGTGACGTCACGACCGATAAGCGAATTAGAATAAAATTTGATTTCCGTCCGGATAGAAAAATAGATAAGAGTAGGGGTAGATCTTTCTCATCAATTAATGTAAGCTACCTTAGTGAGGGGTGAGAGAGGGTAAATAACGACGAAAGTAGGAGAGTTAAGGATGGCGCTGTATCCCTCTAATTTACATACGGACCAATGATAAAATATTCGGAGGGCGCTACCGATATCCGAATTAGCATACCGACCAATAATAATATTTCTTCTCGGAAAGAGGAGAAGAAAAGCGGTCTTTGACCGCGAAAAGCCGATTCTCGTCCATTTTACCACTGGTCTTCTAGCTAGAAGGAGTGATTGAGCCAGATAATCTCGTTACGCAGGACTAATTGTGTTAGACACCGTCTGTTCACGCTAATTTCGTTCGCCGAAACTCAGCAAGGAAAATCGTAAGTAGGCAAAGTGCCACTCATTAAAATTAATCGCGGAATACGGGAGTGGATTTTTTGGTGCAATAGGTCGTCGCGACGCGTGAATC